TAAGATATATACTAGAGTCATCAAGCCATCGATGTCCATCAATGTCTCCTCATTTCTTCCACTTTAAAACCACCTTAAGTACAATAGAAGTTGAGAAACACACCGATCTGTACTGACCTTGTTGTTTCCTTGGATAAAACACTTTATCCGAATAGCTCTGGATGACATATGATGGGTCTCCCGCATGTTGTTCAGTGCGGTACCCCCAGTCACTAAAAGGAGGCCCAGTTTCAACATGATCATCCATGTGGACTAATTGCAAACCGATTACACACCATTATCCACATGATTCATCGTGAAATGAAATTAAGATGACAGTAAAGTGAAGAATGTCACCACATACCTTAACGAGAACACTGTGCAATATATATCAGCATTTGCAGGTTAATAGCTTGCAATTTGCTCGAGACTATAATACAATTGCAAAACAATCTAACAAAGATAGAAGAATGCGTAGTCTGTTTCGTGAATTCTGGGATAGAAAATCATATTCGGTTGCTTTAAGCTTCGGAAACAGAGTAGATTTGAACCATTTTCACAGTAGATAAATGTTACAGTAACATTACCAAGGTCGACATCGATATATATTTATATAGCAAACGTTTGTGGTGCTAAAGCCAAAATGTCAGCATTGAATTTCAGGACAACGGAAGGGTGATTTCTGATGGACGGGAAAGTCGTCGTCAAAACAGCCAGATAGGCCGAGTATGAAAATTTGAAAGATTGAAATTTGAACACATCGTGTGAAACTGAAACACATTTCGAGAAAAATATGCTTTGACGCCTTGGTGTGTAGAAAGGCATCAGAATAACATCACGAAGAGCAGAAATCACACCTAGTACTTACTCGGCATTCATTGTGTAATGTTAAAATGACTTAATTTTAGAATTACAACATTTGTATATCTATATTCTATATTCTCGTGAGGGCTTGTTATATGAGGAAGTATTACATCAATTACGTCAGCTGTGGTCATAATGACAGTGTGTGCTTTAAAGTGTCATGGTACTGATGAACACGAACACATGACGGTCCATCAATTACATCATACTATAGCAACATTAAAGCCAGATAATCTTATTATCGAACTGTTTAAACTCAGAAATTAGAAATAATGTGCAAATGTATATACACAAACAAACCTGATGAACTAAAATTTGAGGTGATTAATTGAGAAGTGTACAGTTGTAAAAGGAAGTGCAGATGCAGCACGACTGGTTGATTTGGTAGATTCGTTAGAGGAGATTACGAGACTGAACAATAAAATGTCAGAAAGATTTGATACATATCCGTTCATCCGTCCGTTGGTTAAGATTATAACTTACACGAAAAATTTATATTTTGTACTCTCTGATATATTCCTTTGTGCAGTGTAAATTTCCATAGCCAAACAAGCATTAAACAAAACGATTGCAGAAAAGGTCATATTACCTCAAATTAGTTTATCGTAACATAATGTTTAACATAACATTCACGTATAACATACATTTTTGTTATAAAACACATGTTATATGACATAGCGAATGACTGCAGGTCCCCTCTGTCTCGTCATTGCTCCATTGCCTTTAATTGATTGTGACGTCGGCAAAGAAAAAATCTACCAGCGACAATGTCCATATTCAGATTTTGTGTCAGTGTAATCAAATGCTGATTTTCACAAATGTTTAGTATTTCAGGTACAATTTTTGTATGTGATAAACCAATCTAGCACTCATATGAGATTTATTAAAGTATTTTTTATCTAATAACATATTAAATAGCAAAATTATATACGCTTGCTAAAAGCCTATGTGTCAATATCAATATTACATTTAAGAATAGAATATAAACATAACTGATATTAATACCTCGTAAATCAATATAAGTTATAGTTCTAGAATTATTAGAATATTTCTTGGTCCTGTTCATCCAGCAAATTCTCTCAATGTATTTCCATTTAGAATTTGTGTGGACAGAGGATTCCACAAATTAACAACTCTTAATGAAAAAAAGTTCCGTCTTGGTCATGTACAGGGGCATTTGTAAAGTTTAAAGTTCGTTTGTATACATTGTTAATACATTGGAAGCGGGTTTTCTATCAAAAATATCATTGATTAAATCCCCTCTTATCCTACGGTATTTTAAAGTTGGAAGTTTCAGTATCTTTAACGTAACTTTAACAACCAGTCATCTGACCACTTTTGGAGGTTATCTAAATCCGGTTGTAGAATATCTACATCTTCTTTATTTGTAATAAGGTTTTGTGTCATCGGTAAAGAGGGGACAAGGTTTAGGGTGCAATGCATCTTGTCCGCATGGCTTGTTTCCATCCAAGTTCATGAAGTTGCTCCTGTTGGTACTTTAGTGAAGACACTGAGAAAGAAACCTATGAGTACATCTGCCTTTCCTAAATCACTTGTAGATAACTTCATCAGACTGACTTCTGGTCCGTTTAGGTCCGTCATTCCCGTTTTAAGTTTCATCTTTTCTTGACCTACCATTCAGCCTTTTTATCTTGAATATTCCTTATACATTTGGGCTGATTTTGTTTTTGTTCATACTCTATGTTTAAATTTTTTTCTTGGTGCCTTTTTTACTAAACGATAATGTTTTTGTGTTGTTACGAATTTTCCCTTTCTTAGGTATGCATTTATCAACATATATTCTAAACAAATTAAAAAGAGTAGTACATGCTTCCTAAGCACTCTGATAAAATGGAACGTCCGCTTTACTTTCTGTAAAACTTCCTGTAATTTCATCTGTAATAATCGTATCTCGTGTTGATTTCGCTCAGAACAAAAATTCTTCATTTCGTAATTTTAAAAAATTGAAACACGTGTAATTCACATAGGAAAACAAAAGGTTTATAAAAGGTATAGCCAGCGACGTCCAATATTAGATACAATACAATGGGTTATTGTGTCCTTATTATTAACCGACTTTCCTCTGGTTTTAGCAAAATTAATGTCCAAAATATTGAATTAAAATGTCATTCGTAAAGCAATGAAATTGTTTCTTATTATTTGAGTATTCCGCGAAGACTGATGATAAAATTGACAACAGACACATTGCCGTGTTGGCAGTTGGGTTGGTGAAATAGCCTTATGGAAATAGGAAGGTAATGTCTATGTGTGTGGTTACCAATCCAACAACGTGATACAGATGTCAGCGGACGGAACAACTGTTGATGGCAAAGGACGGTATCATTCAACCATTGTCCATATATGATGATAAGATTTGTACTGACAAATATTAACCGATCACAGCTTAATCAGATCACAATGTTCCTATTGTTTAAATTGTGCATTGTGTAAATAATATTCCGGTCACTAGGTGGTCTATTGTAATTCCGATTGTCGGTTAATCATGTAGTTTCATTTGTCGGATGGACACGTGTAGTTGTCATTATACATGTCATAGACTTATGTGCAGTGCTTTCTAAACCTATATTAAGAAGCCTATATTAAGAAGATAAAACGCACTTTAAGCGATGTCTAACAGCAACTGAATTGATATTTTAAATAAAACATCGAGCGGAAACTTGTTTGCTCTTCCAAAATTTTGTCAACCAGCATTTTAATGAAATGAAGTATATTATATTTCATAGATGTTTTTTCCAAGCCAAATCCGTTCTGTAAAAAAAAAACACACACACACAAACACACAAACGAATGAGTGCTTACCAAATATGTACTATTTTACAAAAAACATATATGCATCGATAGGCTGTATAACTGTAGATAAACTACGTCTTCATGTAGGTTAGTACATAATTTTATTAAGTACCATTGTTCACCAGTATTGAATAACAGACTGTGACGATTCCACCTGATTTATTTTATTGACAAGCATTAGTTGACCAATCCGGATATCACGTACCCGGCATATTGCTCGTAGTGTTATAATGTAATCGTATGAGAAATTTTATCCTAGACGTGACCTGGAATCGGATTGCGGTATGAAGAAGCGATAATTTTACTCTTACTGTACGTACTAAAAGTCTTTACAAGGTAGTTAAAATAATTGCATTTATTTTGTTCGTTTATTTATAGACAAAAAATCTTCTTGGAGTCAAATAAACTAAATATTTTGATTATAGTGATAGGTATATGGAAACCGAAAGAGTGACTATCAACGTAGTATAAACATTAGTCTGAATGGTTCTGACTGTCTATCCGCGACCAGGACAAAAGTAAAATCGCAGATAGATAGTCAAAACTTTTTGGGCGTCATAAACATGTGTCCAAATCAATGTTGAATACTTAAGGATTATCTTTTACTTACAATTTTTACTTTCAAAAATAATCCAGTAAAACACTGAGTTTCGCCATTTCCAAGTAATTCAATACGAAAGTGTAAGCGACGTTCCATTCCGTTGAATTCCGGGAACAGCTGCCAAGACAGCTAGACTCCGCCCACTTTTTTCCTCCATGGAAACCAAACCAATAGTTCGTCGATTTCAACTAATTTAATAATGTTTTCTGAAGGAAATCGGTCATGCAAATGGAATGGTTTGTGTGTAGGAATTTTATCTACAGAACTTTTATTTTAAAAAAACAAAACATAATTATGTTCAATAATTACTATAGCAACACACATTCATCGAGAGGCGGATTCCTACGCCAATGTTGTTACGTCATCGTCTAGCACGTTCTGGACTTAATGTATTCAGAGACGTATATATCACATAAACACAGTCGATATTCTTATGTTTTATTAGGGAAAAAACACAGCAATTGTAAATAAACATGTATATATTTTCGTTGCCTACCTAATGCTTTATTATTCTTGGGGCCTGATGTTTAAGCTCAATACAATCTGAATGAAACAAGGGAAACACGAAACTTACTTTGGAAAAGTATTTATGTTTAAGGCTAAGATTGCTTCAAAAATGTTAGAGGTTTAGCCAAAACCTATTGACAGACGTCATGTAACCAACTCAAGCTGTGACAAGTATGTATTGTATTCTTCCCTTATTACTTTGTAGTAAGACCACCAAGTATATCAGAGTAAGAGTATTATGGCAGAAGGTGGAACCCGACTGACTCGGCTCGACCCTCCGTCCGCAGACAACATTATCTTGTCAGACTTACATTTCCTCGATTGCCCTGTCTGTCTGGAACAAATACGACAGCCGAGGTCTCTACCGTGTCACCATTCTTTTTGTGAGGAATGCTTGACCAGCTATATCGTGAACGAGGTGTCGAGGAAGAGTGGTGCAACAGCTTCCTTCATCTGTCCAGTATGTAGGAAGCTTACTCACCCAATGAACAAATCAGAAGACAGAGAGAATTGGGCCAAACAATTTCCGAGCGACAATGTTGTCATTGAGATGATACAGAGGAAAAACAAGATGACAGAACCTTACTACTGTTTGCCCTGTCAGCGAAAAGGAAATACGACGGCTGCACAGTTCTGGTGTAAAATAACCCAGTCTGTATTTTGCAAGCCTTGTAAAGAAGATTTCCATGACATGATTCACATCAACTGCGATGTTGTAGATATAACTGGATCGAACCATTCTCTTTTGGAACAGTCGGATAAGATGTGCGAAAAACACAAGGAAAAGATGGATTTCTATTGCGGGGACCACAAATCCATCTGCTGTAGTAAATGTATTACTGTAGGTCACCGACGATGTGAAGACGTGACAACGACAGAAGATTACTGTGAGAAACTGATTGACAGTAACCAGCTAGAGGAGATCAAGAAATCATTACAACAAGGAAAAGAGGCAATGCAGTCACTTGTGAAGGATTTTGGTTTAAGGCTTCAAAGCATTGCTGACGACCGGGACACAGCAATGGAGAACATCGAGGACATGTATGAACAGATAGAGAAACGAATTGCTGAGATGAAAAAAGGAATAACAGACGAGCTAATATCGAAGTACAAAGAGGAAAGAGAATGTTTAACGTTATCCTGTCAGAAATGCGAAAGACTGGGAGTTGCTATACAGAATACACTGGAGTTATCCTCCACAACCCGACAAAGGAATGACCATATGGACACGATCAGGCTATATCAGCGAGGTCAGTCGGAGGTCGAGTCATGCAGGGATTTAATTGATCAGATGCAGAATTCTATAGCATATGTTAGTATTCAGCATGAAGATTTAGACCTGACAAGTCTGGGCGAAACGCTGAATTTGGGGAAAATCGTTGTCCGAAAGCAGCAACTTGATAGGAGGGGATTAACAAAACCTCTATCAGAGTGCGGTGTAAGAGAATTAAGAAAAGTAAATATCAAGTGTTCATGTGATATGACGGATTGCTGTGCCCGTGGAGTTGTTTACCTCCCAAATGGTAGAATCGTGGTGGGAGATAACAACAACAAGAAGATCAAGTTAATCGATCCAGAAGGTGATGTTGTGGACGTGATGAAGGTAAATGAACGTCCCTACGGTATATGCATGGTAGATAACACCACTGTTGCGTGTGTTGATAGTATTGGAACTATCAGTATATTAACAGTCGCGCCCAACAAACTTACTCTGAATTCCAAAATAAACACGAGAAATATATGCTACGGATTAGCGTGCAGAGATGGTGAATTCATCGTCAGTTCAGACAACAACGTGTTCAGTGTAGCTAAGGACGGTACAACACGTACGTTACAAGACAGTTCTTATATAGTTTATGCATTGTCATATGATTCCAAGCACCAACTTCTATATTCCACTCGTTACACGGATATTCCTGGAACTTTGGCTGTTGGTAAGTTGTCATCTGACAACAGACACGCTGACGTGTTGAAAGCTGGTTTGGTGAAATGGCCTTATGGAGTTGACGTCGACAAGGAAGGCAACGTCTATGTGTGTGGTTACCAGTCACAAAACGTGATACAGATGTCAGCGGACGGAACAAACGTTCGGGAACTGTTGACGGCAAAGGACGGTATCATTCAACCAGAGGCAATATCCATATATGATGATAAGCTTGTTATAACAGATGTTAGTGTTTCACAGTGTAACAAGATAACGGTGTTCCAACTTTTTTGAATTGTAAACGCTGTGTAAATAGTGTTAACCATATAGTTTCATTGGTTGGGTGGACACCTGTAGCTGTCTGTGTTGGTATACATTTCGTAGACTTTTGTGCAGTGCTAAGTACATCAAAGCGTATACTTGGCGCGTTGATGATAAACGCACTTTTAGCGATGTGTAACAAAGTCAATATTGGGAGGTCATTATGTAATTATTCATAATAACTTTATAATGGTAATTGATAACTCTAGGAATAGGTCATTGAAACGATCGTGTCCAGAGTACTAAACAAATGTTAATAGGTGGTAAACAGTACGAGATACAGTACGACCAATTACTTTCTAATTAGTCCCCCCTCCTTCCCACGTCACACGTTGATTGGACAATGCCCGGCAACGGGCAGAGTCACGGAGACGAGAAACCTTCATCATCATCATCATTGTAAGTAGAGAGTCTGATTCAAGCAGCACGCCAGACTCCACTTTCCTGACCATCGACCTGTCCACTCTGTATGTGACCTCGCTGTCTGAAGATTAAAAATACCTGTCAAGAAGAAAACCTGCGATTTATACTTGTCTCTCGAGGGGCTTTGTTACAGATGTCTATCAGCAAATGAATTAATATTTTCAATAAATCTTTGAGCGGAAACAATACATTTTAGTACTGATCTTAAAATTATGTCATCCTGCAATTTAATGGATGTATTTTCACAGTATTCAAAAGAACGGGAGGTTTGAATAAGGAAAATGGCATTGAATTTCCTAGGTTTTTCTTCAAACCCAAACTTGCACCAAATAACGAAAAGAAATCTAACGGGTGCTAACCAAATAAGTTTACAACAAAAATATATGCATCGATAGGCTGTATGACCCTGTAAACTCCCACCCCACCTTACCACAATATCACCACTCGTTGACTCTCCAATAGACCACAAAGCCTGCCAGTCACACTGTCTACAAGTTTTTTTTATGCGACAGAACCAGCAACCATCTAAGAGGCAGAACTAAAATTCAAAATGTGTTCAAAAGACGATCCTTAAACGTTGCAATATAAAGAAATCGCCCAAGACATTATTTCCATAAATTTTATCACTTAAAACAAAACATGTGATGAATAGGCCCACGTGAATCTTTACAGGGAATAGAAGTACTACACGGCACTTTTTTTTTTAAATTGGAGTTTATTAACCATATTTGTATGCTTATATGTATCTGGTTATCCTCATTGTGTATCGTACATATATGTCAACAGGACAAGTATTACAATAATTAAGGCCGCAGAAGTTTTACTTTGGGAGCATCTGCTAACTGTTTTACATCATGTTTTCTGTGCATCTTAAAATTGCCCTATATTAAGCGTTGTACCAATGACATACCTTGATATTGTACAATTGATACCTCAATGGTAAGGTTTATTAACTTGACATAAAGCGTGTATGAGATGTCGACGCTCAGCTGGTACCCATATATTACATAATGAATTAATTTCACTCCCTCCTCAAACGGAGGTGTTTTTCTACTAAATGTATCTACAAATTAATAGTCTCATAAAATATACATCAATTTATCTACAATCACACCATCAATAGACTTGTGTTTTATACGCCCGTCGAAGACCGGTCGTATTATGTTATCATGTGAACGGGCAGGAGAGTACACTCGATGTCCGCTCGATAACATGAGTATATTGGATCAACCTAAAACTTCATAGGGAAGTTCATTAACATAATAGTTGGAAGTTCGATCACCGTAATTTTCGGGCCATAATCGATGGAAATATGTCGCTTATTCACTTACCGAAAGAGTGTCCGCTAAAAATCTCAATCAGCATGAAACAGATTAACTTCAAACTTGATTGGAATGTGTATGACCTTGATCACTCGGACAAGTACGATGACCGGTTTTTCCCGTCTGTTATTCATGGAGTAATTGCCCCTTATATCTCGTTTTCAAACTTCTGAAGTTTGGACAACATTGATAACCGCACTGTCAGTCTGTAATTCACATAGTTGTAAACTCATATTCCAATTATCTAAACCACTCCTATTCGATATTTCCAATACTTTTTCAACAGATACACTTTGAAAAAATCAAGAAAATACCAACATTGCAACAAAAACATAATTCAAAACTTCAATTCCGGAAAAACTAGGTCAAAATGTTAACAAAACACACACAAAAGAAACAAATTAACTGTAAGTATATGATGTTCGTGTAGACGATTGTGACGAAAATCAAAACCGGGTCAAGTCCTGTCTTTTCGAACAACCTAGATTTGAACCATTTTTACAATATAGAAATGTCACATGTTACATTTCCAAGATCGACATACATATACAAATTAGGACAGGTCAAATGTCATCATTGAACAACAGGACGACGAACGGGTGATTTCTGGTAGATTGGAAGATCGTCGTCAACACAACCAGGCCAGATGGGCCGAGTATGAAAATTCGAAAAATTGAAATTTGAACACATCATGTGAAACTGAAACACTTAATTTTAGAATTACAACATTTGTATATCTATATTCTATATTCTCGTGAGTGCTTGTTATATGAGGAAGTATTACATCAATTACGTCAGCTGTGGTCATAATGACAGTGTGTGCTTTGAAAGTGTCATGGTACTGAAGAACACGAACATATGACGATCCATCAATTATATCATACTATAGCAACATTAAAGCCAGATTATCTTATCATCGAACTGTTTAAACTCAGAAATTAGAAATAATGTGCAAATGTATATAATACATATACACCCTTGATGGACTACGAGGACTAATTGATAAGTTGTGAGTCTTGTCTTGAAGAAGTTAAGCAGGGATATCCTTTTTTTCAGTTCTATTATTCACTGACTACTCAAGGCTGTGTACTCGAAGAGTTATGTCATTTGGTCAGTTTATGTCGAAGGCCTAGCACCTAAGGGAATCACTAGGGAATGATGTCCCTTCATATGATACACTGAAAAGATGGGTGGCGGAATTTTAGCGTGGTAGGCAGATCTGTCCTGGAAGGCGTGTTACTGATGCAACCCCAGAAATGGTCAGTAAAGTCCATGATATTGTTATGGCTGACGAGCGAGTTACAGTGAGATGTATAACTAATGCAGTTGGGATTTCACAGGAAAGAATACATATTCTTAGGGAGATCTTGCAATGAGAAAGCTCTCAGCTCGTTTGGTACCAAGACTTCCGACAGTTGATAAGAAGCACACAAGACGAACTTTTGTTTATTGCTAATCTTAACCTTTTAGAGTCAGATCCTGCTAACTTCCAGCAAATGTTTGTAACTTTGGATGAAACGTGGGTCCATCATTTCACCCCAGAGGTCAAACAACAGTCTAAACAATGGAAGCACACTGGTTCACTCCACCAAAGAAGACAAAGACTGTTCAATCAGCTGTAAAGGTTATAGCCTAGGTTTTCTGGAATGATTTTGGCATTCTGATGGCGGATTCTGCAAATTGGACAAGTAATCAATGACGCTATGCATTAATTCTTAGGCAGTTATGAGAAAATAATTCTATTTGCATGTATAATGTATGTGGTCAGATGATTCAACATATCAACAACTCCCTTTTGGTTATCTACAATGAACGACATTTGTAAAACTTTAAAGTTGTGATCACGTGTTCGTTCGTTTGTATAGAATTTTAATAGATTGGAAGTCACTTTTCATCAAATTTAGAGTTGGAAGTTTCAGTATCCTCAGACGTCCACTGAATGGATAACCCCTAAGCATTGGGTTTGGTTGCCCTTTCTTTGACATTTTCAATTACTTGAATTTTTTTTGTTTGTACGGATTCCAAACATCTGGTCTGTATTCCAAGTGTGGCCTGACTAAAACTTTGAATAGTTGTTGGAACACTGACTCCTTTATGTACGTAAAAGATAATCCGATTATTTCAAGAAAAGAGTTTGCTCTACAGATGTGGAATCGAACGAAAATACATGTTTTTTTCACCATTCTATGTGTTTCTTCTTTTTTTTCTTGATACCCTTTTTACTGAATGATAATGTTTTGGTGTTATTATGAATTTTCCCTTTCTTCGGTAAGGGACAGATATTCTAAACAAATTGAAAAAGTATACCATGCTTCCAAAGCATCCTGATACCATGGAGCTTTCCACTTTACTTTCTGTAACTCTTCTTTCGTGGCCGTATAATTTCCCCTGAAATAATAATATCCTGTGTTGATTTTGTTTCTGTATCTAGAGGTTTTGTACATAAAATATATAGGCCGCTGCTTCCACTTTTAGATTTTTCATTTTATTTCGGTTTGGTTTTTGTTTTTTACCGAGCCATTTTGCAGCAGTTACAGGAGTTTAACTTGTAACTGAGATGTTATATGATAAACGATAATGTAAATCATTGCCATGTTTACAGTTTGTTGTGTACACTCCTTTCACTATGGAAATGACGACAGATTACAATATCAATATAATATTTATTTTACTTACACTTGTGTGCAAGGTACTATCTAAATAGCTTCCTGATTTCTGAAAAGTACTGTAAAAACAATGCATTGCATAATGATGTCCTTACTGTTATTAAGCGACATGCCTTTTGCGGTAGGTAAGGTTGTGGTAGAACTTATATCTAAAATATTGAACTAAAATGTAATACGTAAAGCAACGGCATTGTTTCTAGTTTATCATCGGAGTCTACGGGGAAAACTGATGATAAAATTGAGTGTATATAAACTACGTTTTCATGTGGGTTTGTATAAAATTTTATAAAGTACCTTTGTTCTCCGGGACCGAGTAACAGTCTGTGACGATTCCAACATATATGTTTTATTCACAAGCATTAGTTGGCAAATCCGGATATCATGTACCCGGCATATAGATCGTGATATTACAATGTACAATGGGATTTTATCTCAGATGTGACCCCGAGTCGGAATGAGGTATGATGAAGTGGTAACATCACTTTTACTGTT